ATTTATTTATTTGTGTGTGTGTGTGTGTGTGTGTGTGTGTGTGTGGCCAGCTCAGCCCACCAGGGGGCAGGGCTGGCTGGCATGTGGTGCTGGGGTATTGAACCACCGTCTCTTTGCTTTGCTGAGCTTGTTCTAAGTAGGAGCTTTAGACCACTGAGCCATCTCACCAGCCCAAGCACAAGGTCTTGAGTGCAATCCCCGGTACCACATGCTGTGCCAGCCCCAGAAACCCAGTTGCACTGTGCCAGCCCCAGAACCAGCATTAGGGATGCTGAGACAGGAGAATCACTATGAGTTTGAACTGTGTAGTGAGACCTTCTATCCAAAATACGTAAATAAAAAATAAAAAGAGAGCCCTTTACTGAGCTTCCTCATCATCTGTCAACCTCCCCTGCCTATATCTGGAGATGTTTTTTTTTATTTTTAATTTTTTTAATTTTTTTTTTTTTTTTGCAGTACCGGGGATTGAACTCAGGACCCTGTGCTTGCCAGGCAAGCACTTATTCTACTGAGCTATCTCCCCGGCCCAGAGATGTTTAAAACAAGAAGCATCTTGACATGCTAGGAACTGATGTCAGTGATATAAGGTGGGACATGGGTTTTTCTAAAAGCACCCAGGTGACTGTAATAACCAGGACTAAAGGAAGGCAAGCTCTCAAGCCCCACTTCACTTCTCTTGTCCAATGACTGACTGGTCAAATGCCTACTGTCCCTGGCCATAGCAGGGCCACACACTATAGCTTTTAAAAGATCAGTGGTGACCACCAGGTTTTAAGCACAGTGCACATGCTCTGTTCCCCCTCCTAGCTTCCCCATAGCACAGTGTGTAGGAACCAACCACACGGTAGCTGAGGACATATCTCAGAGGCAGCAGGCACCAGCTTCAATAGTGATAAACATTTCTACAAAGAAACTTGGTCCAGGAGGCACCAGTCAGAGCTGCTGTTAATCATTTACCCTTACCACAGGAAGTGACGTCTTTGTGGCAGTACCATCCCCAAGGTTTCCCATATTCTGGACAGGTTCTCTCAGTGGATAGATCATTTAGAACCCAAGCTCCAGCCACACAGAGGTAATGTGGATGGGCAGCCTGAGGCATAGCCCTTGGATTCAATCTTTCTTTATTCCACATCAAATTTGATTTCTCTCAGGGAGTACTCCTAACATGCACCCCAAGTGCCCCCACACTGACATCACAAAGGGGCAGAAGTTGAAGGGCGGTTACCAGGCACCTACACTGCTCCACCTTTGTTTGCCCTGGGGACAGCAATGGTCAAGGCAACTGGGCAGTCCCAAAACCTTTTCCTCCTAATAGCTGCTTCTTTGAGTCAGGGTGCACCTCTAGTCACCTGGAAGCCCCTTCGCCTGAGCCTGAAGGAGAACTCTCATTTGCCCTCACAGGACACAGGACTGCTAGCAGCATAATCAGGTAATGACTCTCTCCTTTTTCCCTGAATGCCTATCAAATGGCCCCAGCCTGTGACCTGTATATGCCAGCTCTGTCTCTACAATACTTGGCCTTCTGTTTTCAGGGACTTCCAGGAACATCTACTGACACCTCAGCCACTCTTAAGCTCCCATCCTTTTTATTCTTTTTTGCTTTCTTCTCTCTCCCTCTTCCTCCCTTCACTTCAAAGTAATGGAAATTTTTAGTACCAGGGAGCATGGAGCGATATTCCTAAACCACCACTATCCCCTTTTTAAAATTTTAAGACAGGGTCTCACTAAGTTGCCCACACTAGGCTCAGACTATGGTCCTCCTGCCTCAGCCTCCCAAATATCTGAGATATACCACCATGCTGGCTACTTGTTTTTTAAATGAGGGTCTCCCTAATACCCTGGCTTGCTTTACACTTCTGGGCTCAAGTGATCCTCCTGCCTCACAGCCTTCCAAGTAGCTGGGACTACAGGTTTGAGCCACTAGCATATCCCCTAACCTCTCAAAATGCCTCCCAGACAGTCAACAACTAAGGCAGGAAAAGTAGGAAGAATCTATAGTAAAGCTTTTTTAGCTTGTAGCTGAGTGGGCTCAGGGGCAGGATCCCCGGCTCCATACCAGGGCTATTCAAGAAAGACAGACTCCAGAGGAGTAACTCATCACCATGAGTTACAGCCTGGGAGACATAATGAGTTCAAGGCTTTCTTGAGCTGCCTCCTGAGATCCTGTCTCAAATATACAAAATAACAAAAAGCTGGGTGTGGTAGCGTACCCTTGTAATCCCAATACTTGGAAGGCTGAGGTAGGAGGATCACTGTAAGTTCAAGGCCCATATAGGCCACAAAGTGAGCTCAATGCTAGCCTGAACTGCATAGTGAGACCCTGTCTCAAAAAAAAAAAAAAAAAACCACAAAAACCGAAACAAAAAAGAAGGAATGCCGAGCCCTCCCTAAAAAACTACACATGGGGGCTGGAGAGATGGCTCAGTGGTCTAAAGCACCTACTTGAAACAAGCTTGGCAAAGCACAGGGACCGCGGTTCGATCCCCAGCACCACATGCCAGCCAGCTGCGCCCCCTGGTGGGCTGAGCTGGCCACACACACAATAAATAAATGTAATAAATAAATAAATAAATAATTAAAAAAAAAAAAAAAAAAAACTACACATGTTGCCTTGAAATGTAGAAGCCAAAGACTCATCACTCCTTCAGTGTCCATTAGCCACAGAGCTAGCAAAATATTCAGGGTTGGGGGGACTGGAGAGCAGCACCTAGGACTGGCCCTTGAGGGACCCTAACATGAAAGGCCTCTGGTCCCTGTTTTCCAGGTTTACATGGATCAAACATTATTTCAAAAGGACATCTGGCAAGATGAATTCTGGGACAACCCCTGGGACCTGGCTGGCCTGATAGTGATTGGCTTATTCATCGCTACAGTCCTGTTTTTCATCTTGTTTGCTGTCACATTTGGGTTGTTCTTTCCAAAAGACAGTACCGAGGGTGACCAACAGTGATCTGATTTCCTGGGAGCTGAGAAGGAAGCAGGTGAGGGGGGCTGATCGCTTACCTCATCCTGGCAGTGGGCCCCATCACACTTTCCTCTAGCTCAGGGGCCAAGCCAAGAAACAGCCTGGTCAAATACTAGAACTGGCTTAGGGCTGCTCAGATAGCAAATGGGAAGGTGGGTCTGATACAGATCCTGGGACCCCTGTGGTATGCCATCTAAACCTTTAGGCATGTGGGAGGGGGCTGTGCCTCTGCCTCAGGCTAATAAGGTCCTCTCACAGGTTCCCAGCCAGCAACTTTGTAAGTCCTTGACACAGGAGAACACAAAATAATCAGATGAAGTAAAAATTCTTTTTCAAATCTGCTAACTTGTGAGAGCTCATTTTCCATCCACACATGGGCACCAGAGCCAGTTTACCTAGCAGAGCTTCACTGGGGCTTATAAGTCCCCTGGTGATCTAGCACTGCCTATCTCAACAGCTGTCTGGCATATGTCCCTTGGTTCTCAGTATGCCTTTCAGTTCCTAAATATGACATGTTCTCTCTTGCCACAGGGCTTTTTGTCTATGATATTCCCTTTGCCCAAGATGTTCTCCCTCACACTATACCTCACTCCTTGGCCTATTTAATGCTGCCTCATCCTTAGAACCTGCCTTCCTCAGGTGAATCCCCCTGACCCTCTAGACTGGGGTAGAGCCACCTGTTGTACAATCTCAAACTATCACATATCTTTCCTTCAAAGTCCTCTCAAGAAGAATTGTACTTTTTTTTTTTTTTTTTTTTTGGAGAAAGGATCTTGCTGTGCAGTTCAGGCTAGCCTTCACAACATTATGGAGCCCATGCTGACCTCAAACTCAAAGTGATCCTCCTACTTCAGACTCCCAAATGCTAGGATTACAGGCATGCACCACCTGATTTGGCTTTCTTTTTTCATGACCATCTAACAGGCCTGGGTCTCTTCCTACTCACCACTAAATTCCCATGGCCTGTGTGCCTGCTATAGAGTGAACATTAATATTTGTTGACTGAATAAATGAGCACATGAGCACATGAACACACAAACAGGTAACAGGAGGATGGTGGGGCTAGCGGGCTCCTCTGTTTGGAGTTCCCAGGTGACAATTCAACCCAGGTCTAAACACAGAGCTGTTCTTGCATCTCAAAATGCCACTTGGTCAGAAGTTGCTTCAAGCCAAAAAACCATTCTCACAATACTTCAAGGCAAAATAAAGCCCTGTCATGAAAATGCTTTTTCACAGCTACCATCCAAAGACAGTAGCTACCTGCAGAGACAAGGAGAAAACCCATGTCCTTATTCCTGTTATGGTTTGTGTACAGGTGTCCCCTGCAAAGTCTCATGCAGTCCTGGGGCAGCTTCCAGGAGTTTATGATTATTGTGGGTGGGGATGCTGCACCTGCCCTGGGGCAGGTAATTTGCATTTCAATGTAAGGAGGAGAGAGAAGCTAGCTGCTTGAGCTGCTGTTATCTCTCCCTGTGCACTTGCTCTTTGCTGCCACCATGAAAGGTTGCTTTTTGCTATGTGCCGCTCTGCCTTGGACCCAGCTGAGTATGGAATGAAACCTCCAGTAACTGTGAGCTAAATAAACCTTTCCTTCCTTCATTTTGAGTGTCGGGTATTTGTCCTAGCAACAAGAGAAGAGTAACTAAGACAGAATTTGGTACCAGGAGTGGGGCTGTTGCTGTGGCTAAACCTGACCATGTGGATTACAAGTTTTTGGGAATGGCTTATGGGAAAAGATAGTAAAGGTTTGGAGAGGTTGCCTACTTGCAAAGAGCTGGAACAGCTTCGGCTCTTCTGTAGGGGAGATTCTGGTCAGAACTCAGAAGACCAGAAGGCTGACAGAAAGTCAGCCTGTGAAGACCAGGCTGGGAAGGTTTCTGTTGGGAAGAAGAACTGCATTGGTTGTTGGGCTCTGGACAATGTCTGTTATGGCTTGGCAGGAGCTTTGTCTGCATTTTGCTCGTGTCCAGAGATTTTGCCTGAGACTGAGTTTAAGCATGGTAGACCGATCAATCTGGCAAAAGATATTTTAAAGCAGCTAAATACTGGGGCAGTGGCATGGTTGTTACTGGGGGCTTTTAGCCAGATTTATGTTGAGAATGAAGAGCAAGGAGCCCAGCAGAATGGTTCAGAATGTTGTGAGTTTGGCCAGATAGGAAGCACCAAGAAAGCTGTGGACTGCAAAGATGGAGCAGAGAGGATCTCAATGCCAGGAAGGAACCTGAGAATGGAAAGGACGGCCTGAGGGCATCACAGGAGGAGGCGGGTCTCCACCCTTTGCAGCCTCAGAACTGCAAAGGTCAGGAACTTTGCCTTGAGGGGAAAGCCGCAGAGCACCCTGTTCCAGAAAGGCAGCAGCAGCCACACCAGGTTCCAGAATGGCACTGGCATGGAGAATTTGCCCCTGGGAATCAGGGTCAGAGTGCTCAGCGATCCAGGCACTTGACTCCTATAGCCAAGAGAGAAGGAAACCTAGTTACTGCTCCAGCTGGCAGCAGACCTTGGCATGATCTATGTGGCAATGGTTTTAGGCACATTTAGAATGCAGGAGTTCTGAGGTTAAAATGGCTTCCAACCTCAATTTCAGAAGAAGGCCTGGGAGGCCAGGCAGTGTGCCCCTGAGAGGGCAGTGTGTGAAGCAGAGAGCGAGAAGCCAATTCAGTGGAAAACCCAGAAGTTTGGAAAAGCCAGGAATTTGGATCATCTAAGGGAGAGATGCCATGTGAGCTACCACCACGAGTGCTGTAGGGATGAAGCCATGTAAGGTCTTTGGAGCTCACAACTCAGTGCTGACTGCTTCAGATCTCCCTCATGGAACTGCAGGACTTAATGTTTGCCCTGCTGGATTTTGGACTTGTGTTGGTCCCAATACTTGGTATCCTGCTGTGTGTACCTTTTGGAATGGTAATGTTTGTCTCGTGCCTTTGAATGTTGCAAGTGTTTAAGTTTTCATTTGTACAGGGGCTCACAGTTGAGAGTTTGCCTTGGATCTTGGAGGAGACTTGGAACTTTAACTTTTTAGCAATGCTGAAACTGTTGGGATTTTGGCAACTCATAGAGGTGGACTAGAATAGCTTGCATAAAGGGATGTGCATGAGTGTTTGGGGGTCCAGGAGCGGAATGTTATGGTGTGTGTATAGGTATGCGCCCCCTCCCCCCCAAGCCTCATGCAGTCATGGGGCAGCTTATGGAGTTTGTGACTGATTATTGTGGGTGTGGATACTGCACCTGCCCTGGGGCAGGTAATTTGCATTTCAATGTAAGGAGAGAGAAGCCAGCTGCTTGAGCTGCTGTTACCTCTCCCTGTGCTCTTGCTCTTTGCTGCCACCAAGAAAGGTTGCTTTCTGCTATGTGCTGCTCTGCCTTGGACCCAGTTGAGTATGGAATGAAATTTCCAGTAACTGTGAGCTACATAAATGTTTCCTTCCTTCATTTTGAGTGTCGGGTATTTGTCCCAGCAATGAGAGAAGAGTAAGACACTAACTAACTTAAATAACTTTTCTGTTGGTCCCAGACCTTCCCCCAATACTCCTCAAAGGGTTCTACCTCAAGCCCCATCCTCTACAAAAGGTTCCTTTTAGAAATGCACCCACCCCAGCCAAGCACACCCCATTGGCCTCAATGCCAGGTGTTGGCTCAAAGAGACAGCTGGCAGGAACAACTGTCTCAACCTCAAATTCAAACGAGTACTATTCTTAGAAAACGAGCAAATATCTTGTGGAGAGGGACTGTTTTTTCATACTATATGCCATTTAACAATAATAAAACATTCCCTTTCAAGCCAGGCATGGTGGTGCATGTCTATAATCCAAGCACTCAGGACTCTAAGGCAAAAAGATAGCCACAAATTTAAGGCTAGCTTGGACTACACAGTGAGATTCTGTCTCAAAAAACAAGACAGGCAAACAAAAATTCCCTCAGAGTCCTGGAATCCAAAATCTTCACACACATGCCTCCTTCAACAAGACAGGAGGCATAAGGCTGTACACAAGGCAGGAGGAAACTCTGACGATTAGCAAAACCACTTGGCTCTCATTCCTCACCAGAAATGAGAGCTCTGCTTAAGTTGTCTGAGATCAAATTTTGCAGCTCCCTGTACCAGGGCTCTGGTGGTGATGGTCACAGGCAAGCGGGCCTGGCATGACAGCCTACCACACTTTGCTGGGTGTGGTCCTACCACAAGGACAAATTAGAAATGGTTGATCCAGATTAGAAATAGCTCTGTCCAGGAGTCACCAACTCATCAGTAAGTGGGAGGGGCCTGGGAATCCAAAACAGGACCCAAACAAGTGCCTCCCTGGTTTCCAAAGGATGCAAAACATCTGCTAGACACTGATATTATGTAATTACTCTGAACCCCACTTCAGACTCTAGTCATGGGGCTAGTGGTGTAGTTCAATGGTACAGCAGTTGCCTAGTATGTGAAAGGCCTTGGGTTCTAGCCACAGCAACACAAAAAGGGGGAGAGGGGCGGGGGGGGGGAACTTATCCTGAAAAAACAAAAATGGTACAGGTATATGAAATGAACACTGCACATGCAAATCAGGTATAAGATTAGTGGCTTTTATCTACTGTGAACTCTTATGACTGTAACCTGCCTGGAGTTGAGTTGATTCACCTGTAAGTCTACAGCAGTCACTTATGCCCATCTCTACCCAGGATTATTACATGTGATTGGAATCCAAGAGTTCTGTAGAACAAAGTGTTCAGAATCCTCCTGCTGTCCTTCACACTGAGTACCCATGATTCTCTCTGCCCAGCCACAGTCTAACTCCCTGAGCAGCCATCAGGCTCTTTCCATAGCCCTTGTGCTACTGCCATAGATGCAGACAAAAGAGATAAGTGGTTCCATGTGGGCAAGCTGAGATCCTGTTTAAAAAGCTAAGTTTTTCCAAAGCACTTGGTGTACCTGCTCAAGAGGAAGTGGGTCACACACTTCTATATGGGCCATGAATAAGAATGATTACCACTCAAGTGAACCCAGAAGTCCCAGCTCAGTGACACATGATGACCACAGAGCCAATGACCCAGAACTGGCCACATTACTTGGAAATGAGTTGCTCATGAGGCCAGCCATAACAGAAAAGGGTGAAGGAGGAGGACAGATGACCACCCAAAATGTTAAACAAATCCTCACACTGCCAAAACTTCAAGAGCCTAAAGACGACAAACTGACTTCCAGGCTTCCCACACAATGACTGTCACAGGCAGGGATCCCTTGGTAGTCCAAGGGCTCACTTATGGTACAGCTTAAGTAATGAGTACAAGGTGAAGAAATGATCTCACTGACACTTTACTCCACATCCAAAATAAGACGTACCCCAGTTCTTCACAGAAGGTCACCAGAGCATCGAAGGCCAAGAGTGTGGCTTTATCTGATGATTTGTTCCCTCTCTTTTCCTGGAGAGAGACAAAGAATGATCACTTAGCAAGTCATACAGCGTCAGATTAAACTTGTTTCCACAAAATATGAGACAGAAAAGTAGTTAGGATTACAAGCATGTGCCACCATGCCCAGCAAGAATTCATTTGAGTAAAAGTCAAAGATACCAGGTTCTACTTTGATTTTCAGTAACTTCCTTCTGACAGCCTCTGTCCCCCAGCTCAATACAGACTTTTTTTTTCTAGGCCTGTAAAAGGAGGAGCTGGGGATATAGTTCAGTGTGACGGGCCTGCCTAGCAAGTGCAAGGTCCTGAGTTTGATTCCCAGTTCCAAAAAAAAAACCTGTTTCCTTTAAAAAAAAAAAAAAAGCACAACAGATATTGCTTTACATTACTTACTGGCTTTCTGCATTTAGAAAGTGACTCAAGCGGGGGCTGGAGAGATGGCTCAGTGGTCTAAAGCACCTACTTAGAACAAGCCTGGCAAAGCCCAGGGACTGCGGTTCAATTCCCCAGCACCACATGCCAGCCAGCCCCGCCCCCTGGTGGGCTGAGCTGGCCACACACACACACAATAAATAAATGTAAAAAAAAAAAAAAAAGAAAGTGACTCAAGGGCTGGGATACAGCTCTGCAGCACAGCACTTGCCTGGCAAGTGCAAGGTCCCAAGTTCAATTACCAGTACCCCCCCACCCCAAAAAAGAAAGAACACGACTCAAGCCAGGCACGGTGGCACAACACCCCTACTTACCCTTTAACACACATTTACTCTATCCCCATCTCCCAATATGTTTAAGTTGCAACTTCATGTTAAAACAGTATTTTTTACTACATCAACATTGCTTCAAGCTGTACCACAATTACATTTCTTATGACCACATCCTCTGTTGTACAACTTTGTTTCCTCTAAGAGTAATAGCTGTTTTGTTTTTCCCATTTATTTAGACTTTCAGGATAATAATTCACCCTCAAATGTTCTGACATAAGCCCAGCATAGTGGTGCACACCTGTAACCCCACCACTCAGGAGGCTGAGGCAAGAGGATCATTGAGAGTTCAAGGCCAGCCTGGGCTACAAAGTGAGCCCAAGGCCAGCCTGAACTGTGTAGCAAGACTATGTCTCAAAAAACCCAAACAAACAAACAAAAAAAGTTCTGACATAAAGAATTTCTTTTTTTAGCATGGGTAACTGAAGCCAGGGCCTCTGTACTAAATTACATATCTGGTCCTTTTTAAATTTTTATTTTATGGGGTCGGGGAGATAGCTCAGTAGAATAAGTGCTTGCCTGGCAAACGTAGGGTCCTGAGTTCAATCCCCGGTACCACAAGAATAAATTCTTATCTTATGGCAGGGTTTTGCTAAGTCACTAAGTTGTCAGGCTGGGCCCCAACTTGTGATCATCCTGCCTCAGCCTCCCAAGTAGCTAGGATTACAAGCATGTGCCACCATGCCCAGCAAAAATTCATTTGAGTAAAAGTCAAAGATACCAGGTTCTACTTTGATTTTTAGAAACCTCCTTCTGACAGCCTCTGTCCCCCAGCTCAATCTAGACTATTTTTTTTCTAGGCCTGTGCCCAGCTATCTGTCTGACTACTGCTGGACATCATCCTGGGCCTTTCCTTTTGTCTTGTTTCTGAGTTTTATCTCTATCTTTTTCTCTAGGTCTACTGTTTTTATGGAGGACAGCATCTTTTCATAGCTTCCAAGGCATGATGCACCAGATAATTTTTTTTGAAACCCTGTATCTGAAAATGTGCTTATTTTACCTTTACAGCTAACTTGTGGCTGGGTAGAAAACTGCACAATGGCAATTATTTGAAATCTGAAAGTTCTACTTCATTGTTACCTTTTTCCCAGTGTTACAATAGAGAAAACAGATGTTCTCCTGATTCTCAATCCCTCCTAAATAACTTACATTCTCTCTAAAGATGCTTTCTGTATCTTCATCTCATGTGATCTGAAACTGTCTCAATGATCAATCCAGGGTCCACTCCTGTCATTATGTTAGGAGGTCCCAAATCAATACCTTTTACTCAATCACCCTACCAAAATCTTCTCGCTGTCTATCTTAAAGCTGAGATCAAAGAGATAAGTTACTCACACTTATCATTCTTGGTTCACGAAACCCTCCTTCATTTCCAACTCTTTATTTCAACTTCTCTACCCGTTGATCATTTACTCATTCACTCAGCAACTAATTATTAAGCACTAGTCATGTCCTTAGCACTGATTCAGACATTATAGACACAGAAAACAAGAGGTCTCTGCTCATGGAGCTTGCATTTCAATAAGAGACACAGAATACAGCAAGTCTACAATGTCAAATAGTAATAAACATAATTTTAAAAAAAACAAAAATAAAAACATAGGATCCTTCTTCAGCCCCCAGTGATGCCTCTCACCCCATGGTGAGCACATACCATGATTTCTTCACTCCTGTGGATAGACATCCAGCTTGCTTATTTCCCATCACCATGAAAAATTCTCCCAAACAATTCTTCAACATAAACTTATGCACTGGGACTTTTATTTCACGGAATTTGGTCTCCGAAATAGGATATTTGGACCCAGAGTACACCTATATTTTAAAATGTAATTGGGGGGCCAGAGAGATGACTCAGTAGAATAAGTGCTTGCCTGGAAAGCACAAGGCCCTGAGTTCCATCCCTGGTACCACAAAAATAAATAAATAAATAATAAAATGTAATGGGGGCAGGAACATAGTTCAGTGGTAGAGCATTTGCGTAGCATGCTTGAGACCCTGAGTTCTATACCCACCACTACAGAAAATAATAACAATAATAATAATATATAGAAGCCATTAGCTAGGTATGGTGGGACACACCAACAATCCCAGCATTCTGGAGGTTGAAGTAGGAAGATCACTGTGAGTTCAAGGCCAGCCTGTACTACATACTGAGATGTTGTCTCAAAAAAAAGAACGTGGTAAGTCACTTCACTAAAATGATATTAACATTCCATTTTACTCCTGAGAAAGTGCTAGAGGTTGTTCACATGTACATCAAATCATTGTACTTTAATATGCATTTATCTATCTGATTACTATTAATTATAGCATCTTTCATCATACATTTGTTTTTTTGGGTGGTACCAGGGATTGAACTTAGAACTTTGCACTTGCCAGGCAAGCACTTATTCAACTGAGCTATCTCCTCAGCCCCCTCACCATGCATTTGAATGATTTTTTGTGTGCGGCTTTTTTTTTGGTTTTGTTTTGTTTTTGTACCAGGAATCAAACTCAGGACTTTGTGCCACTAAGTTTTATCTCCAGTCCTTTTTTTTTTTTTTTTTTTTTTTTTTGTTCTTTTTCTTGTGGTTCTAGAGATTGACCCTACATCTCCATCCCTTTAAAACTTTTTTAGGGCTGGGGAGACAGCTCACTAGAAAAGCATTTGCTTGGCAAGTGCAAGGTCCTGAGTTCAATCCCCAGTACCTCAAAACAAAACAAAACAAAAAAACTGTTTTTTTTAGGGCTGGGGAGATAGCTTGGTGGCCTAAGCACCTGCCTGGCAAGCACAAGGACCCGAGTTTGATCCCTAATATTTCATGCCATGCTGGTGCACTGTGCCAGCGGCCCCAAAACTGGGCATGCTGGTACACGCCTGTAATCCCAGCACTGGGGAGGCTGAGACAGGAGGATCACCACAAGCCTGAACTTCATGGCAAGACCTTGTATCAAATAAATAAATAAATACCTTTTTAAAAAATTTTGAGACAAGACTTCACCTAAGTTACCCAGGCTGGGCTTTAAGCTGTGGTTGTCCTGTCTTTGGAGTAGCTGGGATGTGTCTATGCACCTGTCATGGGAGCTTTCTTTTCACATCCTCTGCTTTTCATATCCTTTAGTTTTTCTTCTCAATTGGTAAAAGTTCTGTTTGTTCTCAAGTATAAAGATCTGCTTGACTTTTACATTAAAGCCTTTTCCTAAAACTGTGTTTACCTATTGGTTTTATGATTTTTATCATATAATTTTTCATAAGCTCATGATTTGTAATATATTAAAATACACTGAAAGATTTCTAGCTGAGTATGAGCACCCAGCACTCAGGAGACCGTGGCAGGGGGAGCACCATGAGTTGGAAACCAGCATAGGCTACATAGTTCAAGCCCAGTCTGAATTACGTAGCAAGACTGTGTCTCAAAAAAATAAAATATTTTTTTTTCTT